TCAGACACCACTCTGAGCAGCAGGACCACGCTTTCCACAGAACAACTGTGTCAACTCTTGAAACTGTGCCTGCAGTCAACCTACTTCACATATGGGGAGCAATATTATAGGCAGAAACATGGGTGTGCTATGGGGTCTCCAGTTTCTCCTATTGTTGCCAACCTGTACATGGAGGAGGTAGAAAAGAGAGCCTTGATGTCCTTTTCAGGGACACCACCAAGTCATTGGTTCAGGTATGTTGACGACACCTGGGTTAAAATCAAATCTCAGGAAGTCCAACATTTTACTGACCACATCAACTCTGTGGATAAATACATCAAGTTCACATGAGAAGATGTAAAAAATGGTAGGTTGGCTTTCTTGGACTGTGAGGTCTCAGTCTCTGATTGAGGACATTTGCAAACTGAGGTGTACCACAAACCCACCCACACAGACCAGTGTTTGCAGTTTGACTCCCATCACCCTTTGGAGCACAAGTTAGGAGCCATCAGGACTTTGTATCACAGAGCAGACAGCATCCTGTTGGATTTCATATTTTTATACCTTTTTATATTTCCTATCAAGCGTTCAAATGTCATGTTATACAAAGTATGTGCGTGTCTTTCTTCCAGGGTTGAACTATATTTATAGAAAATGTTTACTAATTCTAACTATTTTACCTTTACATATAATCTTATATTAGCTAATGATAATTTTACAAGTTCACATTTGATATATTACAAGCAATCAAATCATGCCAGATAGCAGGTAAGATTTGCTCTGAGCACAAGGTAACATAAATAAAGCTAGAACACATTTCTTTAATTTAGACTTAATATAGTTTGACTAAATAAAATCCCTCAGGTTCTCTCTTAATAATAACCATTAGCATTTAATCATTGTTGAATACAGGGTCGGTTTAGGTGAGAGGACACAGGGTTAATCGTCACAGTAAGCTACAACAGAATGTTACTAGATGTGGGGGCAGGGTGACTTAAACTAAACTAAAACAAAAGTGTAAAAAGGGATCAATTAAGAACACGCAAACATGAGTTAGATAATAATTAATAGTTATTAATTATTCCTAGAAATAAACAACTTTAACTCAAATCATTTGGTATCACTAAGGTATAATCACAAACTGAAACAGAGCTAAAACAAAGAACCGATTTCAGGGAGCCATAAACTTTTTATCTGTGGAATTTAGAAACTAATGTCCTTCAGGGGGCGGGGTAGACCAGTAACCATGGCAACCGAAGGGCTAAACCAATCAGAAGAGCTAGCTTTCTCAAGCTTTCATAAAAGCCGGAAATGACACACGCCCAGCGAGCATTTCCGGGGAAGACCAGACCGAGACGGTTCGTTCTTTTAATGCTCCAAATATATGCATATATTTTAAAAATGTAATTGTTTGTCTCTGAATACTTGTAACCCTGTTTGTCAAATAAATCTTTTATACCGAGGGCGATGTCTCAGCTGTCTTGAACACGACGTGGCTACGGTCCACAACAATCCCCACTAGCTCAGGAGCCAGGCAGAAGGAGAAATCCCACACAAGACAGGCTCTAGAGCAATGTGGATATCCTAACTGGGCCTTCCTGAAAGCAGAGAAGAAACCCAAACAGGACTCCAGTCAGAACATCAGGTGAAAAGGAGGAACCCAGACCAGTGGTCATTCCATATGTTGAGGGAGTATCAGAGAAACTGAGACATTTATTTTCTAAACATAACGTCCCAGTGGCTTTTAAACCCCAAAATACATTACGGCAAAGACTGGTTCATCCCAAAGATCCAGTCCCCCGGCACAAACAGAGTAATATTGTGTATGTTGTTCAGTGTCAGGAGGGTGATCAGTCTTACATCGGGGAAACTAAACAGCCACTGGTCAAAAGGATGGCCCAGCACAGAAGATCAACATCATCAGGCCAGGACTCTGCGGTCTACACTCATCTCCAGGCCAGCGGTCACTCTTTCAGGGATGAAGATGTTCACATCCTGGACAGAGAGGAACGATGGTTTGAGAGAGGAGTAAAGGAGGCCATCTTTGTGAAAAGAAATCGTCCATCATTAAACGGGTGGAGGCCTCCGGGTTCAACTGTCCCCCTCTTACAATGCTGTGATTGCTAGTATCACTCAACCCCCTGTGAATAGTAAAAAGCCATCAGTGTGCTAATGATCCATTGTTAGGCTGATGGTCCTTCTTGAGCATGTGAGCAGCTGGTTTTGGTTGTCAGCAGCAAACTGGTTGATCCACTCTGAGAAGGTGCTATTTAAGAGACTGAGCTGAATACAGCTCCTCAGACTGAAGAAGTCTCTTTCATGAGAGACGAAACGTTTCTACATTTTTTTGCTTTGTTTTTTGTTTTCTTGTTTTTTGAATGTCCAGAGGACCAGATTTAACTTTTTTGGAGTCTTATAAATAGCACCTTCTCATAGTGGATCAACCAGTTCGTTGTTGACATCCAGAACTAGCCAGGGCTGTGTGCTGAGCCCCCTGCTCTCTCTACACGACTGCACCCCTGCTCACCACAGCAACATCATAGTCACATTTGCGTACGACATCAGTGGTGGGCCTCATCAGTGTGGTGGTCGGGAAGGGGTGGGGGTGGGGTGGGGGGGGTTGAGTCTCCCTTCAGGTACGAGGTGGAACAACTGACTGTTTGGTGGGAACAATCTGCTCAACACCTCAAAAACCAAGGAGCTGATCATCAACTTCAGGGGGGAATAAAATGGCAGTCACACCCCTGATTATATGTGGAGACAGTGTGGAGAGAGAAGCCGACTATCATTTCCTGGGAGTCCATATTGATGGGAATCTGACCTGGTGCGTGAACACCTGAGTTGCTGAAAAAGGCCCAGCAGAGACTGTACTTCTTGAGTGCTGATGAGGAACAATAGCCCAGAGACTGCCAGTGTCTTTTTACCAATGCCCCATAGAGAGCATCTTCACATACGGCATCACTATGCTGCATCTTAGCTGCACAGTGGCTCAGAGGAAAGTGCCCTGGAGTATCAACACAGCCCAGAACATCGTAGGGTTCTTCTTTCACTGGAAGATCTACACAGTTCCTGCTGCATAGGAAAAGCCCACAGCATCTTAAAGTACATGTCTCACCCTGGACATGATCTGTTTGAACAGTTACCATCAGAGGAGAAGGTTCAGATCAATGAAGACAAGAACAAACATTTAAAACGTTTTTTTAGCCGTCAGCTGAATTGAACGCTGTAATAAGAACTGAATAAGCGAAATAAGGACAATTTGTGTAATATCAGTCTACCTATGTTGCACATTAGGAGTGTTTAAAATCTGTAGCTATTACTTTTTATACAGTTTATATTTATATTGTTTTGTTTTATATTAGTTTTAACTTTTGTTCTGGGAAGCAAACCCAAATTTCAATGTGTTTAGGTGCAATGACAAAGGTCTATTCTAGTTTGGATAAAAGATGAAATGTTTCATTAACGAATCCGTCCAGAGGACCTGACTCAACTGGTTAATCTCTGATTGTTGCAGCTCCTCCTCCAGCACGTCCATTCAGAGGTTTCAAAGCTTTAAGAACTTCAGGTGAGGCATCAACCAAATCAGGAGCAGTGAAGGATTTAATCACTCCATGTTTTCAGAAAACATGCAAATAATTGAGGAAATCATGCCAGGAGCTTTTCAGGTGGTGTGCGCATGCGTGGAGGTGGAATCATTTTCAACCACACCCATCATTAATGGTCCCCTCGCCCTTCAGCCCACTTGGCCTTATTTGGTCACACTGGCATCTCCGCAGCTGATTGGCTGAGGCTGAAAACATTTTCATTGACACACTCACCTGTGCTGGCTTGCTCTCTCAGTCACAGAGGCAGGTCTCAGTGGAGACGTTGCAGACCCCCCCTCCCCCTCTTCCACATTCACGAACGTGGCTAATAACTGTCCACCAGCATCCACAGGATGTGGTTTTATCAGCTGTCTGAGGAAGTCGGGGAGTAATCTGAGGAGAAATGTGCCTCAGGATACAGAACTAATCGGTTCTTCACAGAACATTTGCTGTTCTGATGGAAACTTTTCACACTTCCTGTTTCAAATGTTTAGCATCTGCATTTATTTTTAAATATTCTCTCATACGTTCTTTCCCATCATCCCTGCTCACCGACTCACATCACAACCTTCAGTTTCAAAATAAAAACCAGGAAAGTCTTTTAATTTAACATGAAACATGGTGAATAATGTCATTGACCTACGTAAATAAATAAAACTGACAGAACGTATAGTGCAAGAAATGTAGCTTTAAAGTCTTACAGATGTTCATCTTCTGTGAATCAAACATCTCATCTGTTCTGATTAACACCAGATGTGTATAAACACCCAACTCTTATTTATTTATAGTAATGATATTTTCCTCTGACTCTGCCCACTAACATCAGGCTTTAATAGCTGCCAGGCTTTTTAAACATTATTATATTTAGTTTCTGTATCTAAAACAGGGTTGGCTGCTGCGTGACACGCTGACAATCAGCCCCCTCTGGTGGACAGAAACCACGACGACAAACATGATGTGTGCCAAGTTTTTATTCCACAGACCCACAGAACAGACAGACAGGCTGGACCTTTACTTTAGACGTCTTCTTGCTGAGGAAGCTTCTCTGCAGCGTCCAGATCAGACAGGATGGATCTGAAACAGACCAGACATCATCAGGAGTGACCAACAGGAGTGACAAACAGGAGTGAACATCAGGTGTGACCAACAGGAGTGAGCATCAAGGGTGACCAACGGGAGTGAACATCAGTAGTGACCAATAGGAGTGAACATCAGGAGTGAACATAAGGTGTGAGCAACAGAAGTGAACATCAGGGGTGAACATCAGGGGTGACCAACTGGAGTGAACATCAAGAGTGAACAACATGAGTGACCAATAGGAGTGAACATCAGGGGTGACCATCAGGAGTGAAAATAAGGGGTGAACAT